GATTTGTTGAATTTCTATGATTGAATTTTCTATTTGACTGTCTCTTAGAAAGTTTAATTTCTAAATTTTTTCTCTCAACATCTAAAATGGTTTAAAATATCATTTAACTATTTTTCAATTTATTGAAGTATCTCGAAACTTATTCACCCCGGTTCTATTTAGTTGGTTCTCTTCCTTCCCGCTCTCTGCAGGAAGATGGGAGTCCCATACTGCATTGTCAAAAACAAGGCCAGGCTTGGACGCGTAGCCAGGTAAATTAATAAATATTTCTGGGAAATCCTTTCTTTATCTACTTTTTGCAATGTCTTTGTGGCGTACTGCATAGTGTCGCTACCTACTGCATAATATCCTTGCAACAAATCCTAACTTGCTATGTAGCCTAACCTACTGCAATACATCCGAACCTATTGCGGATTAGATTACTTTCCTAATACTTATACTTAATGCAATACATCTCAAGATACTGCAATGTATCCCAACCTAATGCAATATATCCCAATTTAAGGCAATATATCCCAACCTTCTGCTTTATATTCCAACCTTCTGCAATATATCCCAACCTAATGCAATATATCCCAACCTAATTCAAGATATCCCAAACTAATGCAATATATCTCAACATAATGCAATATATTCCAGTTTTCTGCAATATATCCCAACTTAATGCAATATATTCCAGCTTTCTGTAATATATCCCAACATAATGCAATATATCCCAACCTAATGCAATATATCCCAACCTAATGCAATATATCCCAACCTAATGCAATATATCCCAAACTAATGCAATATATCCCAAACTAATGCAATATATCCCAACCTACTGCAATATATCCCAACCTAATGCAATATATCCCAACCTAATGCAATACATCCCAACCTAATGCAATATATCCCAACCTACTGCAACATATCCCAACCTAATGCAACATATCCCAACCCACTGCAATATATCCCAACCTTCTGCAATATATCCCAACCTAATGCAATATATCCCAACCTATGCAATATATCCCAACCTACTGCAATATATCCTTACCTACTGCAATATATCTCAACCTACTGCAATATATCTCAACCTACTGCAATATATCTCAACCTACTGCAATATATCCCAACTTACTGCAATATATCCCAACCTACTGCAATATATCCCAACCTACTGCAATATATCCCAACCTACTGCAATATATCCCAACCTATGCAATATATCCCAACCTATGCAATATATCCTTACCTACTGCAATATATCTCAACCTACGCAATATATCCCAACCTACTGCAATATATCCCAACCTACTGCAATATATCCCAACTTAATGCAATATATCCTAACCTATGCAATATATCCCAACCTAATGCAATATATCCCAACCTATGCAATATATCCCAACCTAATGCAATATATCCTTACCTACTGCAATATATCTCAACCTACTGCAATATATCCCAACCTACTGCAATATATCCCAACCTAATGCAATACATCCCAACCTACTGCAATATATCCCAACTTACTGTTATATCCCAACCTAATGCAATACATCCCAACCTAATGCAATATATCCCAACTTACTATAATATTCAGGAGGAAGACCTGCACGGCTCTTGCTATCACCAATGTTGAGTCTGCTGATAGAGGAACCCTCAGCAAGCTCGTCGAGACGGTAATAGTTTTATTTACAGGGAGTGATTCGCTTAACAATTTTTTATTTTAATTTAGTATACAATACCCGCTTTTCATTTTTGGAGCTGTTAAGGGCATTTAATTATAAATGTTCAAAAAAGAAATATTTTCTTAAATATGTCTTACTGGAAAATATTATTTAAAGAAGTCTCATTTAGTTAAATATGTGCGATATACTACCAACCAAGAAAATGTTTTATAAAATTTTATTTTTTACAAAAATTGAAATTAGGGGAAATGACGGTGAAGGAAAGTTGAAATAAGGTTCTAAGTTTGTCATTGTTAATCGGTCCAACAACCAAAAGTTTAATCCTAAGGGTAAATGTGCCCCTAAATCAAACAAAAATCTTAACCTCCGAATAAATGTGTTCCTTTTTCAAACTATAGTTTCCACCTCTGAATATGTGTGTCCTATGTCAAATTGAAGTTTCTACATCTGAATATATGTGTCCTATATCAAACTGAAGTTTCTACCTCNATATCAAACTGAAGTTTCTACCTCTGAATATGTGTGTCCCTTTATCAACTGAAGTTTCTACCTCTGAATATATGTGTCCCTTTATCAACTGAAGTTTCAACCTCTGAATATGCGTGTTCCTTATCAAACTGAAGTTTCTACCTCTGAATATGCGTGTCCCTTTATCAACTGAAGTTTCTGCCTCTGAATATGCGTGTCCCTTTACCAACTGAAGTTTCAACCTATGAATATGCGTGTCCCTTTATCAACTGAAGTTTCTACCGCTGAATATGCGTGTCTCTTTATCAACTAAAGTTTCTACCTCTGAATATGTGTGTCCCTTATCAAACTGAAGTTTCTACCTCTGAATATGTGTGTCCCTTTTTCAAACTGAAGTTTCTACCTCTGAATATGTGTGTCCCTTATCAAACTGAAGTTTCTACCTCTGAATATGTGTGTTCCTTATCAAACTGAAGTTTCTACCTCTGAATAAATGTGTCCCTGATCAAACTGAAGTTTCTACCTCTGAATATGTGTGTCCCTCATCAAACTAAAGTTTCAACCTCTGAATATGTGTGTCTCTTATCAAACTGAAGTCTCTACCTCTGAATATGTGTTTCCTATATCAAACTGAAGTTTTTACCTCTGAATATGTTTGTCCCTTATCAAACTGAAGTTTCTACCTCTGAATTTATGTGTCCCTTATCAAACTGAAGTTTTTACCTCTGAATATATGTGTCCTATATCAAACTGAAGTTTCTACCTATGAATATATGTGTCCCTTATCAAACTGAAGTTTTTACCTCTGAATATATGTGTCCTATATCAAACTGAAGTTTCTACCTCTGAATATGTTTGTCCCTTTTCAAACTGAAGTTTCTACCTCTGAATATATGTGTCCTATATCAAACTGAAGTTTCTACCTCTGAATATGCGTTTCCCTTTATCAAATTGAAGTTTCTACATCTGAATATATGTGTCCTTTTTCAAACTGAAGTTTCTACCTCTGAATATGTGTGTCCTATATCAAACTGAAGTTTCTACACTTCTGAATATATGTGTCCTATATCAAACTGAAGTTTCTACCTCTGAATATGCGTGTCCCTTTTTCAACTGAAGTTTCCACCTCTGAATATGTGTGTCCTATATCAAACAAAAGTTTCTACCTCTTAATATGTGTGTCCTATATAAAACTGAAGTTTCTACCTCTGAATATG